TACTGTGTTCTACAGTAATAAAGCTGAGCTCTACTGTGTTCTACAGTAATAAAGCTGCACTCACCCTTCTGCTGAGCTGGGTGCTGCCCCTCTCTTTGAGCTGCAGGTCGGTGGGCAGGTGCGTCCAGATGATGAACGGCGTGTCGTAGCGCTGACGCAGCTTCGGGCAGCTCTTAAAGACGAAGTCGATCAAAAAGAACTTTATCCCCGCGTACACCCCTGATAAGAGAGGAAACAAAACTCCAATCAGTTTATTTTTGTTTGTTTTTTCGAATATAAGCTATCCTTTTGTCCACTTATGGACTGTGGGTATGAGTAACAACACAGACAGAAATATGAAGAAGCTCTAACTCTTACACAGACTGATAGTTTTATCTATTAACCCTTTAAAGCCTGATCAGAGAATAAAACAAAACAGAAAATTACTTTTTTTTTGTTTGAAGTCTTTATTTGGCCTTTTAACAAAATATGTAAAAAGAAAAAACAGAAATACATTTTTGATATTAATAATTTTTTTACTACGCGATAAGCCAAGATTATTTTCTTCTTCTTTTTCTTCTTATTCTCTCCTTCTGAATTGAATATCTAAATTAAATGTTTCCACTGGATAATTTTTTTAATAAATAAATAAAGATTTGGAGTCTGGATCTGCATTTTCTCCTGCCGGCCGATAGGCTACGCAGTTTTTTGCAAAAATAGTTTTTACATTCGAGTTTTCAATCAGGTTTGTTTGCTGTAGCCTAACGGATGTTTCTCAGTAAAGAATATGCAAAACAAAAGCAATGAAAATGTTTTATTCTGTTGTAGATGAAGGTTTGGAGTTTGCATTGAAAGAAATACAGTGGGGGAAATAAGTATTTGAGCCCTTGCTGATTTTGCAGGTTTTCCCACTTACAAAGAATGCAACGATCTATAACTTTAATCATATGTACATTCTAACAGTGAAAGACAGAATCCCAAAGAAAATTCCAGAAAATCACATCATATGAATTTATAAAAATTGATAAACATCTGATGAGGAAAAATCAGCATTCTTTGTAAGTGGGCAAACCTGAAAAATCAGCAAGGGGTCAAATACTTATTTCCCCCACTGTAGATAGATAGATAGATAGATAGATAGATAGATAGATAGATAGATAG